GACTTTGGCTTGGCTCAGCACTGGCTGTTGTGGGCATTTGGATAGAAGATCTTACACTACCTTTCTGTCTCTCTGCTTTTCCAATCTAAAAATTAAAAATGAGTATCAATAAAAATTGAAAAAATAACTTGCTCACTGCAGATGAACTTAGGTATCAGGGTCCTGGATGAAGGCAACAAGTGCTCCTCTCACTTCTCATCCCCTTCTATTTTCACCTCCTTGAGGTGAACTTCAATGCCATGAAGAGCTTCAGAAAGTTCAAAGAAAATGGAAGTAAAATATTTAATAAATCAAAATGTTTGTGGAAACTGCGTGCAAGAACTATGCCTGGATTTCAAAAAAAATTTTTGCACCCAAATACACTTATCTTTTAATTCTATTGTCCATGAACTTTTAAAAGTACCTTGTTTCTGCAGTGCCTTGAGAATCCTTAACTGAAACTCTGCAAACAGTGAGCTTTGCCATACCATAGTACAACAGTTAAAAAATGTGACAGAAGGAAAACTAGCTTAACGATAGGGCTAGTGTTTTTTTATGGGACTAATGGCTTGCATGACTAACATGCTCTCTGAGTCTATGACCCAGTACCTAATGGAGTAACAGAGATTACAAGTCAAGTACAAATCAGGGAGAACTGTTGCCACCCTGCGCCTTTTCTATTGGATGTGATCTCTACCCAAACGCTGACACTGGGATTCAGTCATCCTGGGGGAATATCTGCCTGGGTGTGGTGCTAGTGTTCAGATAAAGAAACAGAAGTGGGAAAGGGCAAAGCTGTCACTTTTTCTTTTTGAGTCATTTAATTATTTTTGGTGTGTGAGTTCTTTTTTATTCCATCTTAATTTGTGCTGCCTTGCAAAACAGTGTTATTACTTGGATATTCACCGTGAATATTATACACTAACAGTACCATGTCATATGAAAGACACCTTTCAATCTCTGCTTAAAGATATTTTAAAAGTTGCTAGCATGACAAATCATGTTAAAATGAAAAAAAACCACAAAGGTGCACTTTTTAAATAAAGAGAGTGTATTTTCATTGTAAATGGCTATAGATGAGTGGAGTCTTCAGAGGATCTATTGAATTTCTTATCTGCTTTTAGATGGTGCAAAGGTTAGACCGTGTTAAGGGACACGCAGGGGATTGCTCTTGCTGGCAAGCTGGGGAAAGCATGGATAAAGTGCCAGTGCTTCTCTGCAGATGGAGATTAGTGGTGGCCATGTAATCCTGGACAGGACAGAAGATAGCACAACCTGCAAGTTCAGGATGACCACGGAACGGCAAGAAAAGGAGCGGAGCAGTGCCGCTGCCCAGAATGTACACGGCTCCTGGACTGACATCACCTCTGCTGAGGTCCAGGCTGTGCTGGGAGGTGAGCAGGAACTTATTCTAATAATTGACTTGGAATCAAGTGGTGTCATTGGGAATAGCGAATGTCTATTACAGAATGTGTGGTTTGGTTATTAATAACCTTGGGCTCAAGCAAATACAGCAGGAAATGCGGAGTTTCCCTCATCTCCGGGTGTGAGTGTGGAGTCAGAGAAAGGGTTTGATCCAGCTCACACGCTTCGGAGCCTTGTGACTGTGAGTGTCTGTGAAATAAATGCAAAAAACCCTGTGTCCTGGACACGCCAGGCCCCAGGCAGGCGGGAAGACTCAGAGGGAGACAGTGTCTTCCTCTACTTTAGACCAGACTGAAGCTTTAGGGTTTCTGGGCCACTGGGTGGCGCCAGAGAAGTTGAAACAGCAAAAAGTGGGGTTGAGGGGAGGAGCTGAGCCCAGATGGGAGAGTGAGATATATCTGGTCTCAATCCAGAAACCTTCCTTTATGTATTTTTTTTCCTTTATGTATGTATTTTAAAATGTTTTTATTTTATTTGAATATAAATTATTTTAAGGTTTTAAAGGTTATTTATTTGAAAGACACACACACACACACACAGAAATCTCACCTACTAATCTCCTTAAATGCCTGTAACAGCCACAGTGGGGCCCAGCTGAAGCCAGAAGCCAGCAGTTGAATCTGGGTCTCCGATGTGGGTGGCAGGAACCTAAGTACTTGAACTACCACCTGCTGCCTCCCAGTGCTCACTAGCAGGGAGCTAGAATCAGGAGTGGAACTGGGATGCAAACGCAGGCACTCTGATAGGGACACATCTTAACCACTATGCCGGACACCACCCTGTTCCTTTGTTTTCAAGCACTTCTTTTTCTGTGCTTGAGCTTTGCAAGTGTCATACCTGAGTTTAAACCACTTCACAACTTGGTTATTGTATATTGTTACAATAGTTAACCAATGTGGTATTCCTTTTCAGAATTCTTGGTAAGTTAGAGAGTCCTTTTTAAAAAGAAAAAACGGAGGGGTTATTTATTTATGTGTTTCAAACATAGAGTGACAGAAAGAGAAAGATACACGCACACATACAGAGGGAGAGAAAAAGGGAATGGGAGGGAGAGGGAAAGGGAAACAGAGAGAGAGAGAGAAGAGAGAGAGAAACACAACGTCTTCCATCTACTGGTTTACTCCCCAAAATGCTCACAATATCCCGGGGTGAGCCAGGTCAAAGCCAGGAGCCAAAAGCTCCATCTAGGCCTGCCATGTGGGTGGCAGGGACTCAAGCACTTGATCCATCATCTGCTGCCTTCCCAGCTGTGTTAGCAGGAAGCTGGATCAGAAGTGCAGAGTACTTGGACTTGAACCAGGCACTCTGATATGGGGTGTGGGCATCCCAAGCTGCAGCTTAACCTGTTGTATCACAATAATCACATAAGGTTGTTAAAATTATTTATTCACTTATTTATTTGAGAAACCCCAAGACACACACACACATACACACAGAGCACATATACCACACACACACACAGGGCACACACACGCACACACACACACACACACAGAGAGAGAGAGAGAGAGAGAGAGAGAGAGAAAGAAATAAAGAGAATGGATCTTATCTTCTGGTTCACTCACAAATACTTTCAATGGCCAGGACGGGGCTAGGTTGGGCTAGGCAACAGCTGGGAGCCAGGAAATCAATTCAGGTCTCCAACATGGGTGGCAGGAATCCAGTTACTCGGGTCTCTAACACCAGTGAACTTTATACCCAAGCTTCTTGACCAGTAGCTTCCCATTTTTACCCTGCTGTGTTAACTTAATCTTCACCAAGGCATCATAAGGTGGGCTCTATAGTGTTGGGGCTTCCACCAGTGACAAAAGAGCAGCACAGGGGGCTTGGTGACCAGGCCCAGAGACTGGTCATGATCTTCACCATTGGCTAACATTTCCCGTGAGCTGACTCTGTAGCAGTGCAAGGCCATGCTTTGCCCAGGTCCCACTGAACCCCTTTGCTCTCATCCTTTGAGGTGGGGTCGAGTTACCTTCACTTCTGAGAAACAGACTGAGGTAGGGAGACAGCAACCTGCTTGGTCATGCTACACACCTGGAACAATGCAAACCCAGGCTCAGAAGGAAAAAAACAGAAGTGGAAAACTTACCATGTAATAAAAAATGGAATTAATCATGAAGACATTTCTTGGGCCAGTCATGGTTTTGAAGCTGATGTCATGGTAATTTCTAGAACCAAAGCACACCTGTATGCCTCTGCATAAACCCAGTCCGTGTAAGACACCATCTGCTTGCCCCTGCCTGTTTCTGTGTCCAGTCAGCTGGTGCCATTCTCGGCGAGGAGGGACAGGCACACAGCAGCCCAGTGAGATCTGGGGGCAGAGACCCCAAGGTTGACTCCTGAAGGGAAGGAAAGCCCTGTCTGTGGAGCACTTGAGGTTGCTCAGACAGGAGGAAGCCCTCAGGGAATGAGGCATGGGGTGGGCTGTGTTCTATCTATTTGAATCTGGGAGTGAGGATCTGAAAAGGGAGAAGTTAGTTATTCAAAGTGTGGGGTGACCACACTTTCCCTTCCCAGTTCACCAGCTTGAGGACTGGTATTCGGTGGGGATAGACATCTGAAGAGAAGTCACTCTAGGAATATAAATATTTATGAACATTTACACAAATATTTATATAGAGCCCCTTCATATTAATGAGGGGTAGAATTATCCAAACACTAGAGTTACATGGCATTGTCAGGTGAATTGTCCTGGCTTGAATATGGCTTATCCATTGTGACAATGTCCCTTGTCACCCCTGTGACAGTAGTAAGAAGTGGTTCCTTTGGGAAGTGGTTAGGGCGTGGTGGCTCTGTCCTCATCAGTGGATGGATGCCATTGATCTTGCCCTCCTGCTTTCTGCCCGTGGCCACACAGCAGCGAGGTCCTCAATAATCTTGGACTCTTGCCCTCCAGGACCCTGAGAAATGCATTTCTGTTCTCTCTCAGCCACCTGATTTAGGTATTCTTTTATATCAGTGCACGATGGACCAAGGCATGAATCTTTTAAATTCTCACGGTTTAAAGAATTTAAAAAAGATGAATTCACTATTCAGTTCATGAAGGGTGCATCTTTTAAACCAAAGCAAGGCGCTTATCCACATGATCCAGCAAAAGTTCTCTGTAACGTGAAGCAAATGGAGAGTTTTGCCGTATGTAATTTGAAAAAAGAACTTCCCTAGGAGAGCCCAAAAGAGTTAAAAAACTAGAGTAACCTAACTGAAGACTTCTTAGGAACATTTTGCCCAGTTGAAGAATATGAGACTGTTATTTGTTTAATGTACAGTGCATTAGGGACCTGCTATTGATAGGGAAGTATTTTTATGTATTTTACTTTTAGACTTAGGTGTTTTGCAAAAATAATGTAGCAAACTTCAGAAACCAAGTCACTTGGTTGCCTCATTATTAAAACATCTCTATTCTGACTAGGCTCCTTCTAAAACAGGAGATTAAGAGACAGCAGGAGATAGTTAAGAATATTGTGACATTGTTTCTAAGGTCATTTTGTTCAAACTTCATCGGAGTTTTCAGCATTTCCACAATGTGTATTTTAACACTGAACATGTTCTAATCACTTTAGAAAAACAACAGAATTTTCATCCCATCAGTTTATTTTTAGAACAACATTTAGTAGGTATTTTTCAAATCCACTTAATAAATAGTTTAAATAAATATAACATAAATAAATATAAGTTATTTCACATGCTTTCATAAATATAAAATTATATCAATAAATAGCTTTTAAATAAATGATGCTTAAGTGTTTGTTGCTATAAACACTAGGGTACAGAAATAGCTTATAGGTTCTTGCTCTTCTAATAGAGGGTGTGAAAAACCCAATCAGGGTGGGCATGTTTCCCGCTGGGCAATTTGTTTACAGACACTTGAAAACAACGTGCACAGCAAATGTGTTCCTGCCAAGGCATGGGGTCATCCTTCAAATGCTGCATGGTACATTAACGTACACAGAAGAAGGAAAACTCCTGTGGGAGCTTCAGTAGGACCAGGTCAACCCTCCCTCCCCAACTCTCAACCCACATTCCTTCTAATTTTTATAAAAATGACTTTGGACAGGGACCCAGGCTTTCAGGAAGAACTCAGATAGCTCATCATTCTATCAATAGTCACCACACGAATTCTGAAAGCATGCAGAAGAATGCAGAGTTTGATTTTTGTTTTATAGAAATCCAGCTCTTCAAGGGAGGGGTTTTGTGGCACAGCTCCACTGTTGGAATTCAAGGCCTAAGAGAATGAACACAGAGCATGACAATATGGTAGATGGTATTCCAAAATAAAACATTCAGCTGTGAAAACGGGTGAAGTCAGTACATGTCTTACAGCCCACAACCCAGGCCCTTATTAGACATCCGCACTCCACCCAGATCTAGTCCCAGCTGGTTGGCCGGCAGAACCTGAGAGAAGAAATACCAACTGTCCAAATACATGCATCCTGGGTGAGCTATGGAAAGAGCCTTACAGCTCTCTAGAAAATCACCAGCAGGAGTTCCATTTCAGAAAGACAGAATTCTGTTAAAATGACATCTGCTGCAGCAGCTAATTAATTTTTATCCAGGTTACATTAAGAAGCCCAGTCCTTTTTAGAACACAGGAGGGATGGAATGCTACTGATCTGACCTCTGTATCAGCAACAGATCCATTTGTTAAGACGTGAGCTGTGTGTCAGATAAACTTGGCAGTGGCTACCCCAATTTTAGCCCTTTGATTTGATAACACAATGCAAGAACTTCTATTTGCACACTGAACAATATTCTCAATTGTTTCTCACCTATATATATATATACACACACACACGTAAAAGAAAGGTAGGAGAGGCAAAATCATCCCATTTTACAGAGAAAGAAACTGCAGTTTGAGAAATTAAGTGACCAGGACATTGTCTGGTTACAGGTAGAATTGATTCAAGTGCCCAAAACATGACTTCTGGCCCTCAAAACAAAATATCAGCTACAACTCTCTGGTTGGAAAACATACTTTGATAGTCACTTGAAGTTCACTTCACACATACAAATAAAAAAAATGAAATAAAGAAATGAGAGCAAATTACTTTTCAGACAACAATTTCTGCCACCAGTTTTATCCCATGCTCTTGTCACCAAGGCACTCCCTTCCCCTTATGTGTGTATTTCTGTGTTTTATATTAGCATTCTGTACCATGATGACAAAGAAAACTACAAGGCAAGTGCTTGCCTATGAGGACATGTAGAGATCCTCAGGTGATTGCTTGTTCTTCTGTTTACATTTTGGTTCATAATGGGCCCAAAGCAGGCACCTGCCCTGCCTGCCTTTTCCAGCAATATCTGTAAATATGCAAGCTGATCCCTTGCCAGCCCATCCTGGAGCCTTCAGAGTTGAGTGAGAAGGTGAGGGTAGCAGAATCCTCTTCCAGAGGTTTATAACCTGTCTCTGCCTCTTATGAGCTGTGTGGCCTCCGACAAGTGATTTAACCTCCTAAACTTTAGTTTCCTCCTTTGTGCAAATCCCAATTGTTGTGGAGATGATGTTGAAAACTCAAGAAAACATCTACAGAGAGCCTTGTGTATACCATGTGGTCAATAAATGGAGGCTGACCTAGTATGGTCAGCTCACAGGTGCCCTCTGCTAGAAGCCGCTCTTAAGGCTTTCTCCCTGCAAATGAAGTTCTGCCTGGCTTTCAGGGAACGGATTTCGGGCCTCTCTTAACTGAGGAAGGGACCTTGGCTGGCCATCTTCAGAATGAGGCAGGTGCTGTCACGGAGAGGGTGAGGCCTTACCTGCATCAGCTCTTCAATAGCTCCCAGCATGTCTTGATCTAGAAAGATCTGTCTCTTAGAATCCATCAGAAGCTTTGCATTCATGGCCATGAACTCTACCTGGTACATCTTCAAGTCCTCATAGATACTACTAAGGCACAGGGTCTGGGTGACATGACAAAATGGGGAAGGAGTCATTGATCAGCCCACAAACGTTTCCCCACCTTACACTTGAGGAAACAGTGGTGTGTCTTACCACCATAGAGGAGGTCTTTCCAGAAGACAGGCAACTCCCATTCTAGAAGAAAATAATAATCCCCCCTCAATAGTATGAATTCATCAAATGGGCAGAACCCTTTCAGTTTTGACTTACAATTATTAAAGAGGTCTCTCTGGAAGCCAGGCAACTCTCATTCTAAAGAGAAAAGGCATATATCAAAGATGTTAATCCTTAATATAAATCTTTCTGATGGTTCATCTCAAACACAGAGTTTTTTAATTATCGTAAAACACACAACACAAAACTCATCATCTTTTATGTATTTTTTTTAACAGACAGAGAAAGAGGCAGATGGAGGGCTCCCTTCCCCCTCCCCCATCTGCTGGTTCATTGCCCAGAGGCCTGCAACAACTGGGGCCAGGCCAAAACCAGGAATTAGGAACTCCGTCCAGGTTTCTTACGTGGGTGGCAGGGACCCAATCACCTAAACCATCACCTGCTGTCTCCCAGGGTGTGCACTAGCAGGAAGTTGAAACTGGGAACAGAACTTGGCCTTAAACTCTGGCAATCCAATATGGGATGCGAGCTTCCCAGTGGGTGTCTTATCTGCTAGGCCAAACACCTGCCCCATATCTGAACTATTTTTAAGAAGATGGTTCAGGAGTGTTAAGTATGCTCACATTGTTGTAAAAAACATATTTGCTTTTATAATGTTTTCCCTGAAATCAGACTTCTAAAGCAGGACCTTTTGAAGTCCCACGATGATGGACATCAGAAACAAGCACATGTTGGAAGCAGCTGAGGTTTGGAGTGGCCCAGCTTTTAACTGTAGTCCATGCTTTGGGAGGTGGGGCCTCTGTACCTTGGTTAACTCCAGTGGTAAACAGGCCTTCACCGTGCTGGTCTTATCTTTTGTGATATCTTCATGATCAATCTCCTCAGAAGTGCAGGAGTAGAATTCTAGAGTTTGTCTGGCCTGTAATAAACATAAGGAGAACTTCAGCTTGCTAACATTAATAAGGCTCCTGGCTTCCCATGAGACTGGAGCCCCAGGGTGCCAGCAAGGCTGGAGCTGGCTGGGCTGCCTCTGACCTCCATCTCTTTGGCCTGCAGGAAATTTAAGCTCTTGCTAAAACAACAGGAAACAGGCCATTTACATTCTCTCTCTCCCCCTCCTTGCTTTTTGCCTAGGACCCTTATCTTCAGATACCATCCTTTCCTATTACATAAACACTATAAAACATTTCCCAAGGCCAGGCTGCCCAGCCCCACGCCACACAGTGACACCTGCTTCTGCTAAAAACAGTTTTTTCTCTTGTCAAAGTGCTTGTGTTTTATGACTGTTTTTTCAAGTATGACATCCCAAGCGGGGAACTGATAAAGTCACAGCTGGATGGATATAAGCTGAAGACCAGCTGAGGTTTGCCTTACTGTCCACATACCCACACAAACACATACACACATGGAGATGTTCTGGGAAAACTATGGACTAGTTCTGTGACGTCAACAGCGTTCTCACTGAAGATGGAGCTCATTTTGCCATTCACCGAGTCTGGCGTGAACACGCCAAGGAAGAGGACTGTGTTAGGGCCCCCTGAATTCCGAGTCCAGCTGCAGTGTCAGGCAAGGGCCCAAGAGAGTAGTGATGGGTCAGGAGGTGAGAAGGAATGAAGGCGCTAAAGATGGGGGACAGAAAAGCCAGGACTTCCTGGAGATGGGACGTGTGCAGGAGGGGATCAGCAGGCTGAGGGGCTGGGGGAGGGTGTGATTTCAGGCAGAGGGAACTGCTGGAGCCTTGTTTCAAGGCCTGGAAGTGCAGCACAGGGCTGGGCACAAGTAGCAACATCACTGACTGTAGCAGCTAATCTAATGCTCCCTCACCCCCCTACCACCCAAGAGCTCTCAACGCCTGGAACCTGACACAGCAAAGGGGAAGGTGCAGGTGACATTCAGGGTGCCAATCAGTGGAACTGCCAATCAGTGGAGGGATTATTCTGGACTATGTGGGTGGTCCCAGTGTAATCACAGGTCCTTGTGAATGGAAGAAGGAGACAGAAGAATCAGTTCAGGGTAGCATGCGGAAGACCAGGGCAGCCACTGGCTGGCTTTGAAGACAAAAGAGGACCTGGAGTCAAGGAATGCAGCAGCTTCCAGAAGCCAGAAAAAGCAAGAACATAGCTCCTCCCCCAGCACCTCCAGGAAGGGGTGCAGCTCCACCAACTCCTTGCTGTTAGCCCAGTAAGACCCACTTTGGACCTCTGACCTCCAGGACTGGAAGATCACACCTTTGTGTGTTTAAGGCGCCAAGGCAGGGGTAACTTGTGATGGCAGCCTCGGGAGGCTAGTGCACTATTCCTGGGGGTGTCGCAGCCCTGGGGCAACCACTGCTTTGAGCAGGTTTGGAGATGTGGACCCCATGTTGCAGTTTTTAAGGGAACTGAAGAGTTGGATTCTTCCATGAAAGGCTTGATCTTTCAATGGCATCCAACTCAAAAACATAAACATATGAGCCAAACTGGATAGATGTGGGCTGGCTACAGCCTCTGCATCCCCTGCACGTACCCCCGCCATTCTCAGCAGAAGCCAGTTGGCTTGTTCCGAAAACTTCGAAAAATGAGTAATTCAACAGTATCAAATCAGTCCTGTGATCTGTCGACCTTCAACATAGCGTCATGTGAAGCATCCATGCAAATTCTGCCCACACCGATGCTTTCATCTGCACAGACCCTTTCTCTAGGAAACAGGGCACCTATCACTGCTGCCTTCCTTGCTGAGCCCTCTTGTTAATTAGAATTGATTGAATTGTCAGGAGCAACTGACAGCACATTACAGAAGATCAGAAGGGAAGACAAGAGTTCTTGCAAAAAGTCTTGTGGCACGGGGCTTACTTTACTATTTTAACAAGGCAACCCACTAGAAATACTCAAGATAGATTTACTGAGGTGCAGGAAGACAAAGGGACACCTTTTGAAGCACCAGTCTCAGCTACAGCTTTGGCGCAAAAGCTCCTGGAACAGTTTTAAAATGAAAAGAAAAAAAATTTTTTGTATTCAAATATAAAACCTAAAAAAACAGAAGGCAACTGTAAATAGTTGCTTTCTCTCCTGCTAGAAAATGAAGCTTGGACGTGCACTGTCCCAGTGCTCCTGGATACCCAGCTTCCTCAGCAGACCACCGGTGAGCAGCAGGTGGGACTACTCTAGGCCCTACAGAAGAGGCACCTGCACTGAGAAGGGGTGTCAAGGCCACTGTAGAGCCGACACGATTCCTCCTGCCTTGGCAGGCTGCAGGGAACACCATAAATATCCTCGTTTCCTCTGTGTAGACGGCGCAGAACAGATGCCTTATAATTTATCACCATTCTTCCTCTCTCTGGAGTCGCGAATTCTTTGACTCTTTAGCTAACAATTGAGTCACTATACGGCTCCCTCCCTGCCTCCTGACAGCCGGGGATGGATTTCCACAATTTTGGGGACCCAAAGAGAAGCCCCCTAGCCGGCGAGCTCACCTTGTGTAGCGTGTCGCTGACGGCTCTCAGCAGGTTTTGGGAGTGGTTAAGGCACTGGAATAGTCCCAGGTCCGGTGTGGCCACGGGCAGGTTCCTGGCCAGACTGAGGCCGTTCAGAAGGACAAGCGTGGACACAAGGAGGAGGCCTGGAAGGGAAGCGAAGGGGCGGCTGAGCTTGCCAGCCCACGCTGCCTGCCTCTGCCACCCTGCCTCTCTGGCCATCATCGCCCATCGCTCTTGGCACCCACCTACCTGCGTACTTTTCTAACAACTCTTTCTCCAACCCCGGAGTGCTGAGCTAGGGTACTGGAGCCCAGATGCTGCACTGGGTGCTCACCCAGGGCCGCAACAAGGAAACAGGCCAGGGCAATCGGTGGGTGATTGTGGCTGAGCAGCCAACGGCAGGCAAGCCACCTCCCTCCCCGGGTCTCAGTATCTCATCTATGGAATGGGCATAATTCATAGGCAAGATGAGAAGAGACCATGCCTGTGAAGCGCACTGGGAGCGCCCGATCCTCCTTCGCAGCAGCCTGTCCCTTCGGCGGAGACTGCGGGTCGTCAGAGGTCTCGGCTCAGCCAGGGCTGAGTTTCTACCCCGCGGGCCCGGCGGCCGCCCCTCCCCAGCACCGCGAGCCGGTACGCGCCGCTACTCACCGCGCAGGGAGCACATGCTGAGCGGTCGAGTGCGGACGCTGAGCAGGCGGGTGGACTCGTGCCGGCGGGCGCAGCAGGTGAGGGCGGATGCTGCTGGGCGGCCCCCGAGCCTACATTTTTATAATTGCGCGGAGGCGCGGCAGGACTTTCCCAAGATTCAGGTCTCTTGCTTTCTCTCTCTGTCTCTCTCTGCATCAACTTCCCGGTGCCACGTGCAGTGCGTCGGGCCGGCGAGCTTGCGGCACTTTCGGATTAACTCCCGGGGGCCCGGCCGCCGTCGTTGGGGACCTCCCCGTCGCCTCTGACTTTTCCGAAGCGAAAGTGAAATTCCGCGGCACCGCGGCCCCGAGTCTCCCCGCAGGCCCGACCCCAACACTTGGCTCCGGGCGCGGGCCCCGCCCCTCCCCGCCCCGCGCCGGGCACCGCCCCCTCCCGAAGGCGCTCAAGGGCAGCGCCAGGCGCTTTTCCATCTCTGCCGGGATGTGGGATGTGCCCTGATCGTGGCCTCCCGACTCAATCATGCCTCTCCTAGTCCTTCAAGATGGCCCACTGTATGCCGGGCCGCCGTGGTGCCAGGCGCTGGGCTCCAGAGTCAACAGGACCTCTCGGGGCCTCCCCCACGGCCAACCTGCCTGAATGTGTTGTGTTCATGGGTCCTCTCTCAAACATGCAGATGGGGGAAGCCGGATTGGCCAAGCAATAATTACTCTCTTAGAGCACCCAATTTCTGGGAGCGAACAGTGGTGATTTGGTGGGATGGGTGTTGGGGGAGGGGTGAGGGGAGATATGAATGCTGTTGGGGCGCGCATGGTGCAGCGGGCTAAGCCACCCTTGTGAGGCTGGCATCCATCGTTTAGAGTGTTGGTTTGAGTCCTGTCTGCTCTGCTTCCTATCCCGCTTCTTGCTAAGCTTCTGGAAAGGCACTCGAAGGCAGCCCACGTGCGTGGGCAGTTGTCGCCCTGATGGAGTTCCAGGCTCCTGGCTTCTTCCTGGGCATTGTGACCTTTTGGGGAGTGAACCAGCAAATGCAAGATATGTGTGTGAGTGTGTGTGTGTGTGTGTGTGTGTGTCGCTCTGCCTCTCAAATAAATCAATATAAGAGGAGGAGGAGGCATCGTGACATTGCTGGTAAAGTAGCTGCCTGTCATGCTGCCATCCCATATGGGTGCCAGTTCAAGTCCCTGCTGCTCCTTCTACTATCCAGCTCTCTGCTATGGCCTGGGAAAGCAGTGGAAGATGGCCCAAGTGCTTGGGCCCCTGCACCCACATCAGAGACCTGATAGAAGTTCCTGGCTCCTGACTTCATCTTGGGCCAGCCCAGCCATTGTGGCTATCTGCAGAGTGAACCAGTGGGTGGAAGACCTCTCTTTCTGCCTCTCTCTCTGTAAATGAATAAATAAATAAGGCTTAAAAAAGAGGAAGGAAGAGAGAGAGAGAGAGAGAGAGAGAGAGAGAGAGAGTTATTGTGGAGTCCAGCAGACAGTGAAAGGTTCCAGGAGAAGAGCTTGGCCTGGGTGTTAAAGGACATTAGGCCTACGACTGCTTCATTGGCTGGGGCAGGTTCTAGGCAGGGGAAACAGGGGCCTGAGCAGGGGTGGGGTGCAGCGAGGGTGGAGAGCTGGATGGGCCATGGCAGGGGGGCAGCGCCTGCATGCTGCTCAGAGGGTGGTGGGAGTAGTCTGGGGTTTGAGATGGGGAAACATGGTCATATTTGCAGCGTGGAGGATGGATCCCACCAGTCAGGAGCGGAGCAGCGGGAGTGGCTGGCAGCTGGGGCCACGTCCCCACTCAGGGAGGAGAGTGAGGATGAGCAGGAGGGACTCTCAGGAGGGTCGTGACCAAGGCTTGGTGACTCCTCGGGTGGGAGGGAGGAGACGGTGCTGAGAATGACTGAAGGGAGGCATTTGCGTGCCTGCAACAGGGCCGCTGTAGGAGGGGGTGCGTGTGGAGCAGGTGGGAGAAGTTCCACCTTGCAGGGGTGAGGTGTGAGGCTTCTGCGGTACTCTTCAGTGCATTCATTTCTTTCCCGTGCATTAGTCACCCTGCGTGTGTAGGAGGAAGGCGTGTGTCTGGTCCCCAGCTCTGAGCTCCTCGTGGGCGTGACTGTACGGCTGCTGCAGGCAGAGCTGCTAGGACCATCCTTGTGCAGGGGCACCGATCTCAGATAGGGAGAAGCTTTTTCGGTGCAGGAAAGAGTGGGTGCTTCCTTCTGCTCGCCTTTGGTTCTCATTGAAGCCTGGGTGCAGGAGGTCACTGCAGGCCTTGGAGTGCCTCTGCTGGCCACAGCGGGAGGAGATGAGAGAAGAGGAAATTGTGGTGGCACCTGCTGTCTCAGGCCCTCCTCAGCTGGCTCCAAGATCATGTGGCACCCCAGCAGGGACTTTCAGATGTGTACAAAATGGAGAGATGGCTGGGCTCTAAGGCCCCTTCCAATGTTGTTGTCTCTGAATTCCCTCATAGGGACCCAGACAATCTATGGTCAGAAACAATCGGGTTTAGTGGTATGTGTGAAGCAAATGACAGATGCGAAGTTGCCGTAGGAATTCAGGGTAGAGCAGTGCATTTAAAGTCAGAAGGAAGTCCAGTTTATCCCAACTAAGCAGTTTCTCCCCGAGAAGAGCTATCTCCTGTGGAAAAGCAACTTCTACTGCAAAGATGAGCACAGAGCCTCTGTTCAGAATAGATTCTTGGCCACCATACACAGTTTCTAACCTCTATTTTTCTGAAACAGTTTCCTGATATGTTGCATATTCTGCAGCCTAGATGAAATACAAGTCCTCTGGAATAATATTACTTTTCTATAAGAGATACTATTTGCTCATGGTTACTACTACAAAGTATTTAACATGGTTCTAGAAGTCTTGGCCAATGCTGTAAGGAAAGAAAAGGAAATGAGAGATTAACCAAGGGAAATGAAATGGGTCTCTTGCAGAGACATCCACTCTCCCACATTTATTGAAGCATTATTTACAGTAGCCGAGAAATAGAAACAGCCTAAGTGTCTACCACTGATGACTGGAGAAAGAGAATGGGGCAATATACACAACAGAATATTATTCGTGTGTAAAAAGGGTGAGCTCTTGTTGTTTGCGGCAACATGGATGATACTGGAGGTTGTTACATTAGGAGACATAAGCCAAGCACAGGAAGACAAGGACTGTGTGATTTCACTTATATGTGAAGTCTAAAACAAGAAGAAAGTGTAAAGGTGGCTTCCAGAGGCTGAGGAGGGAAGTGGGGAGAGAGGAATGGGGATAGGTTGATGAATGGGGACTGAATTAAAGTTAGATAGTAGCAAGAAGTTCTGGAGTCCTATTGCACAGCAGGAAAGCTGGAGATGACGAATCTTATACTTCTCTATTTAAAGACATCCTAGATGGTATGATTTTGAATTTTTCACCTCAAAGAAATGTTAAATGTTTGAGAAGATAAGATATATTTATCCTGACTGGACATTATACAATGTATACATGTATCAAAATAAGCATGTACAATTTTTAGATTTCTGTTAAAAAATAAAAAGAAATGAGGGACTTGAACATTAGAAAAGACAAAACTGTCATTTTTTATGGTAGATATAAACAAAAGTCAAGAAAACACAAAATCAATAAACCAAGTACTAGAACTAACAAGAGGCTTTAACAACCTCACTGGATATAAATGACCAACTTTGAAGAATTAACCAAATTTTTCTACATCCACAACAACCTATTAGAAAATATGCTGAAAAAGAAGATAGCCATTCATGATAGCAACCCACCTAGAAAGATCTGCCTTAGACAGGGAGGCACACCGTGGTTAAGAGCATGTACTCCAGGAGCAGGTGTTATGAGCCAGTGGGGTAAGCTGCTCCTTGGGACACCTATATCCTAAATCAGAGTGCCAGTGTGAGTCCTGGCTACTCTGCACTTCCAGTCCAGTTTTCTGCTAATGCACTTGGGGGTGGTGGATGATAGCCCCCAATACTTGGTTTCCTACCACCCATGTGGGAGACGCAGATGGGATTCCTGGCTCCTGGCTTACACCTGGTCTACTCTTGGATGTTGTGAGGATTCGGGGAGTCAACCAGCAGATTGGAGATCTCTGTCTCTGTCTCTCTCTTTCTCCCCCCACCCCACATTGTGCTGCTTTCAAATACATCAATAAATATTTAAAAAAGAAAAAAAAAAGAAGAATATGAACTCCAAACTGTCTGAATGCAGGTTCTACTAGTTAGTTGCTGTGTGATTTTGGTAAGTTAGTCTCTCTGGGTCCAGTTTCTTCATCTGGAAAATGGTGATGATAAGAATACCTGTGGTGTAGAGCTGTGATTTTTTTATATGAGTTAATACGACAATAGGACTGTCTTTGGGGGCCAGTGTTGTGGCATAGCAGATAAAGCAGCTGCCTGCAATGCTGGCATCCCATATGGGTTCCAGTTTATATCCTGGCTGCTCCACTACTGATCCAACACCCTGCTGATGGTCTGGAAAAACAGCAGATGATGACCCAAGTACCTGGGCCCCTGCCACCCACGTGGGATACCTAGATGAAACTCCTTGCTCCTGGCTTCATCCCAGGCCATTGTCATCATCTGGGGAGTGACCCAGTGAATGGAAGATCTCTCTTTGTCTCTCTGTAACTCTGACTTTCAAAATAAATAAATCTTTGGGGCTGGCACTGTGGCCAGCGCCAGCAGTGCACCCTCCGCCTGCAGCGTCAGCATCCCATATGGGCGCCGTTTTTTGTCCCGGCTGCTCCTCTTTCAATCCAGCTCTCTGCTATGGGCTGGGAAAGCAGTAGAAGATGGCCCAAGTGTTTGGGCCCCTGCACCCACGTGGGAGACCTGGAGGAAGCTCCTGGCTCCTGGCTTTGGATCGGCCCAGCTCCAGTAGTCGCCGCCATTTGGGGAGTGAACCAGCAGATGGAAGACCTTTCTCTCTGTCTCTCCCTGTCACTGTCTGTAACTCTACCTGTCTAATAAAATAAAAAATCTTTAAAAAAAAAGTCTTTGGAAAAAAAATATAAAACTGTAATCGAGAACATGGTATGATTTAATTTACATTTTTCTATACTCTTGTGTGGAAAGTTTATGTTTAGTTACCAGTATCTCTTGTTTATTCCATGTTTACCTGCTCTGCCATCATGGATAATATTCTTTCTGTCTCAAAAATGATTATCTTTTAGGCTTTTTAAAAGCACAGGTCTGCTGGCATCAAATTCCCTGACTTTTCTTTCTGAAAATGTATTTACTTTGCCTTCATTTTTGAAATGATTTTTCCTAGGAAATTTTTTCTTCTCAGCACTTTAAAGATGTCACAATGTCTTCTGGCTTTAGTTGTTTCTCCGGAGAAGTTAGCTGTCAGTCTTTTTGTTGCCTCTTTGAAGGTCATTTGTT